ATATTGTGGAGTAGAACTGGGTCTGTATGTCTTTTTAGTATGCTGTTGATCATATGAGTAGTATTGTTGTTGAGGTCATTATATCTTTTGTTGATGTATTCATTTATTTTACTTTGGTGGGCGAGGTTGTTTTCTAGTTTTCTGGCTTGGTATATCGTCCTTTGCTGAGCTTTTAGCAGTATAATTAGTGCCTCCTTGTTAGTAGATGTTAGGTCGTCTAATATAATGTGATTGATTTGTATTTCTGTTTTGTTGTTAATGTAATCTATCTCTTTGTTGTAAGTTTGTATTAAAGTATTAGTAGGAGATTGCGTATTTGCTTGTATTTGTCTTATGAGTTTGTTGATACACTTGAGAGCTGCATGAAGTTTGGTGGCTTTAGTAGAGAAGGTGTAGAATGTTCGAGGCTGGGTCCTGGTTCTGGGTATGTTCTTCTTAGCCGCTATAATGATTGCTTGATTAAGATCATGCCATAGTTTGTTTAGTGTGCTAATATTGTCTATTTCTTGAATGATTGTGTTTTCTTTTAGATAGGTTGTAATTGAGCTTGAAAATTCTGCCCATGAGTCTTGTGTCATTTGGTCATATTTGAAGATTTCTCTTTTCTTTTGTTTGCGTCTATTGTTTGTTATTTGAGGGTTGTATGCCCATTGTAATTGCACAATTTGATGATCACTGTCTGTTATTCCGCTAGGAGAAATTGTTTGAGAGGGTGTTATATTATGTATGAGTTGTGTTGGGACTCAGATGTCATCTATTTGGCTATTCATTTCTTGTCGGCTCCAGGTAGGATCTGTAATATTGAAATAGTCAAGTGTGCTAAGTAGTCTATGCAATTTTAGTGTGTTAAAGAGTGGAGCTATTTTCTTTTTAAGTTTTCTGTCAATGTTGAAGTCCCCAAGAACAATTGTATAATAGCCTTTAGATGTTGCCTGGTTTACCCACTGTGTTATCGTTCGCTGTGTAATCTTATTAAGCGGGTGGTTTGTAGCTGGTAGGTAGGTAGAAATTATTCGAATTTGGTTTTTGTTTGGAAAAAAGAAGTCTATTGCAATAGCAGTTCCTGGTTCTGTTATAATGTTATGAATATAGGGTCTGAGTGGTTTAGTAATTGCAATTGCAGTACCAAGGCTTGTTTCTCTCCTAACTGCTCGTTGAGCATTGCAGTTT